GCCAAAGTGAGATTAGAAGTTGCATTATTGGCCTTTAAACATATGGTGTAGCATATTATATATCACCTATAATCTCTGTTACAGCAGGAGTACAGAGAGCTTGTTTTCTACTAACTGTAAATAGAAATTATTTTAATCTTTTCTGAAATGTTTACATGTAATTGGAGAAGTGTCCAATAACAAACAAACAAAAGAAAGCTGTTAGGATAAAGTTCAATAAACTACGATTACACAACAAAATACACTCTGTTATATTAAATTAATTAAAATGTAGATAAATTAATAATAATAAATTAAATTCCGCTGTAAACATAGAAAACAGGAGTCCTGATACAAAATGGATGTATCTTCATTACTTTGTTATTCTTCCTGTTGCATGTGTCTTAGGATTTCTCTGTTGATAAATATTAGTACTTTGTATCCTAATTATATTTTCAGAAGCATGTAACCTTATCTAAACTGTATAAAATTGAGCAGAACCTCTTGTCAGTGTGTGGGGATCATTATGTATTCTTGTTCACTAGTTATGAACAGCTTACAAATACCACTCAGTTCATTCTCAGCTCTTTCAATACCATAGAACCAGAAGGATTCAAAAGGTTATTATTATGGTAGACACTCTACACATATACCAAAGTGGGAAGAGAAGGAATGCAGTAATTTCTTCTTTTAATATAATTATTTCCTGCTGAAGAGCCTGATCCTGCTCTGCGTGTGGTTTCACACGTACATTTATTTTTGAAAGAAAGATCCTACAGAGAGAAGATTCTCAATTAAATGTTTAATTACACATCTTTCAATAAGCCAGAGCGACTTGTCTTACTGAACAGTTTCTTTTTCAGATCTGTCACTTAGAATATGATGTGACTTTGGATTAAATTCTTAAAGGCTGTGACTTGTTTCCTCGGTTTGTAACAAAGAAAAAAATTCCTACCTACCTTGAACTGTCTCTGAATATGACTGTGTGATTTTCTGACTCTCCTGAAAAGCACTGAAAAGTAAGGGAAGGCTTTGCATGTAATTTTCATTATCAATACCTAACTTTCAAAATAAAAGGAACTTGGAATAAAAATAATGTGTCTTCACTGGTTGTATTTTTTTTTATCAAAGTCGGATTGGTCAACATTTCTTGAAAATATCTGTGCAGGTTTTCAAGGCTTCTAAAAAATGCAACAGCTTAATGCAGGTGCAGGCTACCTATGCTGCCATCTATTTATGCTGTTATAATATGATTTTTGTAAGTAACATGCAAAAGTATAAATTTGTATGATTCCTGTTAACAATTAGTTCATAGGAACAATAAATGAGTGTTTTCCTAGAAAGCTTTTTTAGAGGTAAAGCTGAATTTTTAATGTACAACAAAAGAGTGGTGTTAAATACAAAATCTTAGTCTCCATTATTTCTCTGTTAAATTTATCTGGGAGAAATCCAGATTTCTTAATCTTCAAAGAAGTTCTGTCTTCATTTTTGCAGCTATGTTCTTGTATCTAATTTCCAATATCAATGTTTTCATTCTGAGTCATAGTTTTTCTTTTTGTTTTAATTAGTACATTCTCATGTATTAAACAGTTTACAGTCATTCTCACCTGAAATGCTTTTTAGATGTGTTAAAAATTTGTTTGTTTACATATCTGTAATTTTATTTAATGGAATCCAAAGAAATGGGGGACATGAGAAACTCTTCCAAACACGATGGGCCTTCCATCTGAGTCCATCATGGAGCCAACAGATTATGTGATTTTCAGAGGCTGTCCCATCCATTCTGCTTTGTAGGGCTGCTGTAGCAGTCATCTTTATGGCAGAGTTGGGAGTTCAATTTCTTTGAGGACGCCTTGTAACAAATGGGTTGCAGTCATAAATCACATTCACTTTGTCACTTAATTTTTCATGAGAGGTTTGACCAAGAATATTTTGGGAGTTTGTGGCCCACTCAAAGGAAGGACCATATCTTTTCACTGGGTTGCTCTACCTGAACTAATTTCCAATACATTGAGAGATTTATATGAAAAAGAGTCAGGGATTGCCTCTCTACTACATTTTTGTAAAATCAGATTGGAAATCTTCAAAACCACGGACATTAAACAAAGGAAATATACCTAGTGCACATAATTGGCCATAAAATAGCAGGTTTGGGATAATCTTCCAAACCAGATAGCACAGTAGCACTATGCCAGTAAGACGTAAAGTACAGTCTGGTGTATCACTGAAGGCTGTGAAATGTACCAATTTATATTATCCAGTGACAATTAGAGAAATATCTTTGCTTAATATGTTTTGCTAATGTGAAGTTCATGTAGTTTTCAAAATGTCTTGTCCTTTGGAAAGTATAAATGTATCAGGTATGATACACACATATGGATCATCAGATAAAATTCTTTTAAAGGCAATATTATCTACATAAATCTGTATTTTTACTAATGATCTTGGCTGCCAGGTTTTTTCATTCTTCTGTCTGTCATCCTGAAAAGCAAGTATATTAGGTTCTCTACTTTAGCTTATTCACCTTAAAAGTGACTGTTGAAAATTACAAGAAAAACAAATTTTGAGAGAAAAGCTGTAAGAGTGTACTGCAAAGCAGGCATCTCCAAGAGTAAGAGCACGTACAGTCAGGGAGATTCAGAGCAGATACTACAAAAGCTAGCAAAAATATGCCTGATGAAGGGGAATCTGTATTTCAGACTGAGGAATAGAGGACTCTTGTGGCAGCACGAGTCTTGCTAAGCATCTTACTGGCTAGATTCTTTAGCACAGACTATGAACAAATCAGAGCCACTTACAGAGTTAAGTTGATTTCCACTCTCTTTAGATCAAAACTTTTACTTGTGTATTTGAAAATACACAAGCCAGGAAAGACAGAGGGAATGTAAAGGTAAGAGAAGTGGTGTACAACACCCTCACATTTTGTTATATTTTATAGTAGTAAGCATGTAAGTGTTAGAAAAATTCTTGCAGGGTTTAAAGGTTAAAGGTAATGGTTTAATTGGGAAAGTGTCTCTCTGCCTTCTCATATCTGTGTGACGTGGTAGTTTAGTTGTATCACTGAGGTGAAACTGTTACAAGAAGGCAATTTCAGGTCTCACATAAACAAAGGAAATTTTAGTCACTTCAGAGGGAATTGAGTACTGACTCCAGTTAATGAATTTTACTCTTTGCTCTTGCATCCCAAAGTTCTAAAAACCTGTTTGTCTTGCCTGTGGGACTAACTAAACTTAAAATAAAACATTATTGTATAGAGAAGTGGCGTTTCCAATACTACAAAACTTCTAGATATCATAAAGTGTAATGACCAGCATTAACCATCTGAAAGTTAAGTGTTTACTCAAGTGAATCTGCACTCAATGGAGAGAGACAGGTGAACCGAGAGTGGGGTTAGTTCCGTGCTAAAATAGATGCCTAAACTAAATCAGATAAACTTGCTCAGGAGTTCTTTATTCTGTTGACTATGGAAGGAGTACAGTGATAGCTGAGCTTAAATTCCTTCCCACAAGTGTCTGATTCTGAGTGGAAATCTGGTTTGTCTTCTCCACTTGTATTTTAGAGCAAGACCTTCAGAATTTTTATTCTTAAAATTCACTTGTTGTTTGCAAAAGTTTATCAGACTTTTTAGTAATGGCCGGTACGTTTACTTTCAGTCTCTTCATTAATCAGTGTTTTAAAACCATTGTTTATGCTGTAATGAATCATGTGGAAAGTGGTATTCTGTGTAATATTAGATGAAGTAATTTCTTTTAAAAGCAGATTTGTATTTCTTTTTTCTTCTAAGTGTTACATTTATACAAAGTCTTTTAGGGTAGATTCAAGCAATAGAAACATTAGAGGAGTTTTTCCTCTTAAGGTTGGCTCATGTTTTAACTTATTAATAATAATATTATTTTTACTGATTTACAGAAGACTGGAATGTCCCACAACATCTCACAAAGCAGGATTTATATTCCAGCTTGCTATTATATACAGAAAAAAGATTTGAATTTTGCTAGACAAGCAAGCAGCTGCTTTTTCATGAGTGGAAAACCTGGCCTGCTGACAGCTGTTTGACTGTGTCCTGGTTAGCTGGAGCGATGGTCTCACACTGTGTGTCTGCCACAGCCGCTCGACACACACTTTAGGCTCTTCCACAGGGCTTTTCTCTTACATACAGAACCACATGTACTTGCTGTGTCTTTCCAGCTCTCACATATATTCCGTTGAACATGTGTGTATGTGGATGTTTATGCATATGCAGACACTTGATCTCAGTGTGTAACAAGTGGAAAATAAAACCATGTCCAAAACAACACCTACACAAAAATGCATTCTTGAGTTCAGGGGACAAGCTAATAATCTCATGCCAAGGCTTCCCAAGTTTCAGTGTTCACTTAGGAGTGACTGAGAACCCAATTCTCTCTGCAGAGACTGGGTGACTGAGGTGGCAGCCTTTGCTCTGTACTCCAATATGTCCATGACATTTTTATTCCTGTGTAAGTCAGACCTCCTTAAAAGACTAGCTGAGCAAGAAGGTTTTCCTTCTACTGAAGAGTTGTATTATGCAAAATTTTTTTTAGGCTAAGTGTCTTTATTGTGGAAAACATTTACTGCTTTAAGATACTTACTTTGCTGTCTGTTTTAATCATATCCTTTGAAACAGTCTCAATAGATTTTTCTCTTTGTAATATTATGACATTTGATAAGGTGATTGATTATGAAGTATTGAGAGCCCTGCCATGTGATCATTTATTTTTAAATACACATTTGTACTAGCCAATGCTTAAATTTCTTGCAGGAATACATGAGAGATGAAAAACATAAAACTTGAGTCTGATCGAACCTGATGCTTCTGGAAATAGAGTGCCACAGTACTGTGGCCTTAAAATAACAGATTCTGACTGAAACTGGAACTTTGCAGTGATAAATACTATGTAGAAGTTATGGTCCATCTTTGGTACAAAATAAAAAAGATCTACAACTGTGGTATAGGCAAAGTAAAGTGTGTTTGACGATGACATCTTTCTTTCCCTGTGCAGGTGCCTGTGTCAGTGGCCATGATGACTCCCCAGGTGATCACCCCTCAGCAAATGCAGCAGATTCTCCAGCAGCAAGTGTTGTCTCCGCAGCAGCTTCAAGCACTTCTCCAACAGCAGCAAGCAGTTATGTTGCAGCAGGTAATGTGGGTTACCTGCTTTGGACTGTTAGCACAGGGCATTCACACAAATGTCAGCCAGATTGTATGGGTCTTACTTTGTAATATTTCATTGTTCATTACAACAAAAAAGAATGAAAATAAATGCAAAACTTCTCAGTCTTTAAATTTCTTGTTTCAATTGCAGAAGTGTGAAATTGTATTTTCAAATATTAAATATAATATTAAAAACAGCAGCAGCAGTGGCAGATGCATTAAAAATACCAAACAAATTGATATTCAAATTTTCAAGTGCTTAGGCACATTTTAATTGTAGACCTGCCAAAGGAAGTGAAAATAGAGTTGCAGATAATTGTTGCTTTAAAATTCATAACTCTGTAGTGCTCCCTTTAGTCACATAAATGGATGCGGTTATGAAATTCAAACATAACAGCTTGTTCATCAGGGGAAACATTTTTTTATTTTATTTTTTTCATACAAAAAATTGGTACCAGATAAGGCTCAAAAGAGGAAGGAGGTTGCTGTTTCCTTAGTACAAAATCTGTCAGTTAAGTGAAAAATGCATGAACTTGTTATTCATACAGTAATGATAGTGTCAATGATCATGCCTTGGTGTAAGGCAGAGTGAATTTTTGGGTGCATGCTTAATTGTCATACAGAAAATTATGTGTCTGTTTGTCATAGTCATAGCTCAATCACTGAACTGTATGTTTAAACATTTTAATATCCAGTACCATGATCATTACAGGCAATTCACCTTCAGTTGTGAATCCAGCATCCTGCTAAGCAGATTGACAGATTAATTACTTTTTTCCCCTCAGAAGCAGACAGTTTTGTTTGGCCTTAGTGACTTGTAGGTTTCTTGCAAGTGGATGAGTGCAGCTTCTGATGTGTTACATAGGACATGTGAGGAACTTAGGTATAGTTATTTGAGGAGTTAATTTGGCTCTTGCATTGCCTTTAGAATACAGATTTTCTATACCCTTTTGTTTAGGATATTTTGGAATCTGCATTGGAAAATTTCAGAACCGCCTTGGAAAAAAATGTATGCAGATCTGCCTCTTCAAATCACATTTTTTTTGTTATGAGGTGATTCTTAATGGCTACTCTACCATATGCCAATCTAGAAGAGTTTAGGAGATTTATAATACTTGAAACTTTTGCCTTTATTTATTAAAGTCAAAATGGTTTATTCAGCAACAACTACAAGAGTTTTACAAGAAACAGCAAGAGCAGTTACATCTTCAGCTTTTGCAGCAGCAGCAGCAACAGCAGCAGCAGCAGCAACAACAGCAGCAACAACAGCAACAGCAGCAGCAGCAACAACAGCAACAGCAGCAGCAGCAGCAACAGCAACAACAGCAGCAACAGCATCCAGGAAAGCAAGCAAAAGAGGTAGGAGCTAAGACCCTTGCTGATGCATACTAGTCTGAGCTGTCAGAAGCTTGGAAAAGACAAGATCAGTTTAGATCTTTTCCTTTGCAACTATCAAAGATTTGTTCTTATGTTTTTACTGGGCTTAATAGCAGGGCTGGTATAATTCTTCTGCTCCCCTTTCTGAGACACAGGATTTGAGCAGTCTAGTGCTGCTGTCGTCTAATGTTCGCTAATGAATCCAAGTGTGCAAAGAACAAGCTGTGTGGTGGACTCCGTACTGATTATCTTGCATTTACAGGCAATCTGTGTTGGGGAAGGAGCCTTACTTTGCTCAGTGGCACAGCTCAGAGAGCATGCAAATTTAGTCCATGGCTGAAAAAGAGCAACTGAGCACAGATTTCAAAGTCACAGGCCCCTGATTAATGAACTGCTACTGTAGGTTTGAAGTGGCGAGTGGAAAGTTACAGTTTGATGTACTCATAAATCAACCTGACAAGTGGGTTTCTCAGGCCTAGCTTGCACTTGTCAGCAAACTGCATCAAATATAAACATAATACAAACAAAACACGTTGAAGTAGTTAAATTGATCAGCAGGTATCCTAGACGTTGTCTTCAAGCTGCCTATTATGCAAACGTCGAGGAAGCAGTTGTGACCTCCTGAGGCTTTGTTTCTGTTTGGATTTGTGAATAGAATTTCAGACAGCCATCAACTACAGAATAGAAATTGCTCCCTTATTTCTCCGGAGGCTCTGGGCAATCCACATGACTTGCTCCATTATGCAGTCTGTTTTCCAGTGAGTGCATCAGAAGTTTCTCTTTTCCCTAAACTAGAAAGGAAAGGTCTTCCACAGCAGCTTGTCTTTTTCTGAAGTGTGACTGCCTTCTCATACCCCTCCTGAGTCTTTGTAGACTCAAGTTTGTCTTGAAATGCCTCACAAAATTGGAACCTATACTTTTGCTCCATAATAGGGCACTTCATTGCCTTGAATGCCGTGCTCCTTGTAATATATTCCAACAAGAAAAGGGAGCAAGCTAACAGGCCAGTGAAAGGAAGGCTACATCCCAGTTTACTAACAGATCACTGGAGACCATGTTCATGGGCCACTGCCAACCAAATTTAGTCAACTGGAAAAACAAGAGTGCCTTCAAATCACAGGCTGCTGTTAAAAGTTACACTTTTAGCATAGATAAATTTGTTATCATCTTCCATAAGCTGAGCTTTTTTTTTTTGTTTGAATCAGTTGTTATATACTTTCTCTTGACCCTTTTCTTTAGTGTGTCAAGTGGATGTTGCCATTTTCCCTAACACCTAGTAGCTTGAATGAACATAATAGAAAATTTCAAATGCTTTCACTGCCTGAGTATTCTACAAATAGCATTATTATTTAATAACTTAGATTAAAGGGAAAGAAGTTGATTTTATGGTTTTGGCTTTCTAGCCTTTACTATACACTTTACTTTTTCTGCTGCATTTGCTTTTTCTTTTTCTTTGTAGCAGCAGCAGCAGCAGCAGTTGGCAGCGCAGCAGCTCGTCTTCCAGCAGCAGCTCCTCCAGATGCAACAACTTCAGCAGCAGCAACATCTGCTGAATCTTCAGCGTCAGGGACTCATTTCTATCCCACCTGGCCAGTCTGCTCTTCCTGTCCAGTCTCTGCCACAAGGTATTTGAATAATATGTGATTGGAGTAATTTCTAAATTCACAACTTTTTAATCATTCTATTTGCATCTGAACTTCAGAAGTTTCCTGTTATGACACTTAAACATACTTTGTAATAGAAACTTTATTATATTACCAAATTTTCTGGAAGCTGATAAATTTTGCAGCATAGTTTTATGAAGAAAAGCAGCATTTTAGTGGTTTTTTTCCAGATGGAAGGTGCATGTTTATTGACTTTATATGCTGAAAACAATTTCTAATAGCATCACAATTCAAGAATTGTTGCTTTTCTCTGGAATCACTGAAATCTGATTTTGTGGAATATAAGCAGATATAAAATACTTCAGACAGTGATATTAAAGCCATTCAAAAAAATCAGTTTTTTTTCTTTTTCTTGCAAGAAAGTAAAGTGTCTGGCATTGAAAAGCACTTTGAATCTTCAATTTATGACAAGAGAATTTAGGGACAAGCCTTAGCATTCATTTTCTTTGCTATTCCTTTGTATGAAATAGGTTAAATATGACAACCAGTTTTGAGATGGTGATTCCAATAGCAATGAACTATGACTGACAAATAACAGTAAAGAATTTCTGAAAAAAAAAATTAAATTCCTTTTTCACTTTGATCAGGATTTCTCAATGCTGAAAGAAAATAGGGCACACAGTTTTGAAAAGTAAATTAACTTGGAGATAAATACTGCTTACATTTTAAGATAAAGTCAAAGTCTTCCCATCTAAGGACTCTGTCTATAACCTGCAAGGTATGTGTTTCTGTTTGTTTTACCATAGAGAGTTGAGCTAAATGCCTGTCATAAAAAATTACACAATAATCTGATCTCTGGTGCCCCAGTCCTGAAATGAGCATTGTTTAGACTGTTTTCATGACAGGTAACATTATTTTTAATTGGTTTTTATGCATGTAATTAGCTCCTCCACCAGATAACTATTATGAAATCGAAGCTTCAGAAATACTCTGCAAAAGCAGAGTACACAGTATATAGACAGGGTATACAATAAAACCCAATCAGACCAAACCAAAACAAGCAAACAAAACAAAACCCCAAACCAACAAACAAACCCCCACCCACCAGAAAATCAGAGATCCAAATAAATGTGTTGATTCCATACGTTGTGTTGTGTGAAAAAGCTATGACACAAGCATATCCACAGTCATAAAAACCACGATGAAAAAGAGTCCTATTATTTTTTGCGAATAGCAATGGGGAGATAAGTTGATTCATGAATTTGGACATGTGAGACTGATAATGCTGGTTTCTTTTTGCACAGAGTCACACTGGACCTTAATGGAAAAAAGCAATTGAAACACAACCTCCCTCTGAACAGCTTTACCTTTTGCAACTCCTCTTGTGCCATGTGTTTCAAGAGGAATTCCTCAGGTTTTCTCTCACATTAAGCAATCCCCACAGATTTCCCTCAGCACTCCTACCCAGTTGCACTGATATTCGTTAGTTTAATGCAACACTCATTCATCCACGTCTAGAATAAAAACATAGAAAAAATAATAGCTTTTAAAATGGTTTTTAGGAGAACTAGTAAACAGTTCTTTTTAGGAGCTTTCTTTTACTCAAAGAATTAAGTTCAACTGAAGTCATGACAAAAAAAAGATTTATAGTAAAGAAAGAAGAAATTATGAAATATTTTACAGTTAAAATATATATGGATTGTTGTAGTTAAAGTAAATTAATCTATTTTTTCTTTTGCCTTGATATTTTTTAGTTATAATGAATTCCAGACAAGTATTTAATTCTTCCATTTTTAAATTAAACTACAGAATTGAATCAAGGTAATACACACTAGATGTGGTAAAAGGATGTTTTTCTCCATCTGTTGTGCTGCAAAAGATATGTTATACAGAAAGATTTACGTATGTGTAATGCAAATATTTTTATATGCATCCATTCAGATTGCTGAGTTATGTGGATGACTAGAACACTGAAAGTAACACACAAGGATTCAAGTTTATAAGTTATTGGTCATAAACAGTCCCATAAACCACAAATTATTATGAGCAAAGATAGCATGGGGTTTTCATTTGTTAGTGTGAAAAGGTGTGAAAAGGTGTAAAAAGGTGTAACCTAAAAGTACACCTGTTAGGTTTGCAGGAATAAACAGTATTTTCTTCAAGTATAGCTCCTGCCTTTAAAGAACAGGAATGTTTACCATGTCTTCTTGGTGGCCAAGTGTCGCAAATAAGATGCAATAGGTGTTTTAGCATCTATTTTGTGACAAGGTCTTCACTATGCGGTATCCAAAAACAGTGGCTTGCTTTGAGTTACTTACATGTATTGCTGCATTGATGCTAGTTAAATGCAAAGAATTTTAAATCACAGCAATAAAAAAACCCAAACAAACAAAAAGCCCCCAGACCCCAAGTTTTGATTGGTCCATGTTGGGAAATGAAAAACAATTGCATAGATGGCTTTTATAAGTGATAGATTTATTAAGCATTTATTCAAACATAAAAATAGAGTAGATAGAGGTGAAAAGAGTTATGAAACTAACCTAAAAATTAACAAATTCTTAGCATTTGTAAATTTCATAGCAAATCAGTATTTGCCCTTTTTGTTATAGTCCCTAACTTTTATTCCACTCTGGGTCCTCTTTTGATCCTTTCCCCTGTAATGTAGTGTGGTATTTTAAAGGTTGTCATAACCTATGAAACTTTAAAATTTACCCTACTTTTACATCCAGACTGAATTATCTGTCAGCCATTTTATAGGTCTCTTGTAAAAAGAGACTTGGACTTTCTTAGACATAGAAACCACAAAATTGCCGTAATTTACAATTAATTACAAATCTGTTTATTAACTTTATACGTTTTAAATGCCTGCCCTTAATCCTTTTATCCTAAAAGGCAGCCTTTCAGGGTGCTCTGAAGAAGTGATAAAATTAACCAGCCTGAGCCTAGAGAGAAATTTCTTTCTGATTAAAAAAAAATAAACATCTAGGGGAGCTAGGCAGCCTGGAGGCACAGCTCCATCCATAGCTTTCTGCAGTGGAAGGGGTTGCCCAACAGGTACCCAGAGGGGCAGGAGATTCCTGCCCATGGGACAGGCCATTGCTCCAGCTGCCTCTGGCCCTCCTACATTCACCCAGCCTATGGGATGACTCTTTCTCAGCTCTCCTAGGACCCAAGGTTTTACAATCTTCAGTGAAATTTCTCTCTATTGTGTCTGCAAGACACGATGTTTGCCCTCTGATTATCCAAACAGGTGGGTTTATTCTTGGTTTTAATTTTTTTCAGTTCAAAATTAGTTTATTTTGTTCAACAGCAGGAGGAAAGGAAGACTTTGAAGTAAATAATGTACTGTGTATATCATGCCACCTAAATGAATACCTTACTTTTCATTTTGATTTGTGATTACATTTGCAGGTAACTGTTATTTACTATATTAAAATGGTTTATTTGCAGTGTTGCTGGAACATACCTCATGAACTCAGCAGTAATTTCTTACCTTCATTAAACAATTACAACTAGTATTACCATCAATACCGCTACCCATCTCTCTAATACAGTAAATTAAAGCCTGGCTTCTTTGCTTGATTCCTTAAAACCTAGCTTTTCACTATACAAATATGATATAAACTCCAGTTTTAGTACTTACATTCCAATCAACTCTTTTTCACTTTGTCGTTAGCAGAGTTTGCCAATGGTTGTTGGTATCTGAGGTATTAAAGCAGGACGCAAAGCAGTAGTCTAAAAATGAGCTGCTTTCCCATTAAAAAAAAAAGCTTTCACATTAAAAACCATTTTGTTTCCACACTACCTCTAGAAATTATTTTTGTAAATAACTACTAGTCTATTTTTTTTACAGCTTTCTATACTTCATGGTGACACAGCTACTAAGAACTATTACTGTGCTTTTTCATAATTTTTTGTTGAATCTGTTTTAGTAGTCTGAGTTTATATGTTCTCAAAATAAAACATTATCTAATAAACAGATTTGCCAAACAGTGAAAACCAGTCTTTGCATCTTTCTATTATATCTTGTTTACCAAACAAAAATATACTCAGGGGGTAGTTTGAATGAATAGATGCTTTCTAGTACTTTTCAGAACCAGAAATTTGAGCTCTTTTGTAAAATAAAAAGAGCAAAAAATTGATTCAGACAGCATCTGCATTTTGAATGTTTTGCATTCCATCAGATCTAGATACCATGAGCATGTCTTACCTAATTTCAGTTGAGATGAGATACAGAAGACAGTATTACATTTTAAGATACCTCTTAACCAAACGCTGTCAGGCTGAAAAACCTGGCTGTGAAATCAGGTCTTTCCCAAGAAGCTCTCTGAGCTTCACATTCTTTTCTGCATTTAATTTACTATTCTTCAAAAGAGAGATGTCAAACTTACAAAGTCTGGCAATGACATAAGGTGTATACATTTCTGATGAACTCTTCATCTTTCAAAATCTGAATTTCCTATCTTAGCTGCATGTTTGTGGCAAGATAAGAGAATGCTCACAGCCCTTCTCTTGCCTGTGTTTTGGGAGTCTTTACTTCAGGCAGAAACATATTGTACTGGAGTTTTCCATGACTTCATGAAAACTCGAGCCAGACAGCCCTAACACATATGTATCAATACTTTCAACAAGACATTGCTATTTGTGGCCCAGGATGAATCCTGGAAACTACAAGTTTCCAGGCTGCAAGCAGAGTAGAGAGCAAGTTTAAGCTCTATCTGCATAGATCTGGTGGCTAGACTCCAGAATAGTACTGTGCATATAGCAGAGAAGTTTGAGGAGCTCTTCAAATTTTATGTGGCTGCCCATCACCCCAGAAGACTGGCAAAACAGTCTCCTTTCTCCTATCTAAACCCTCTGATTTGTTTTCTACAGTAGAGCTGGATAAAGAAATATAGTGGAGAAATTTGATGGTCTACACTACATGTAATTTCACTCCCTGTGTTGAGAGAGTTGTAAATGGGCCAATTTTGCTAATAACTCCAAGATCGTGAGTTTGATTCCCATATAGGCCATGCACTTAAGAGTTGGACTCAATGATTCTTGTGGGTCCCTTCCAACTCAGAATATTCTGTAAAATCTGTGAAATCCAAGTGCTGCTAGCTTTCTAGTCGGCTGGTACTGAAAAACTCAAGTGGTCACAAGTATGTAGCTCAGCACTGTAGTTTTGTCTTTGGGTTTGCCTCTTAGGACATATTTTTAAATGGGATATTTTTTGTAAATATTACAAAGAACTAATGAATACATGAATGTCATTAATTAAGGTCAGATACATTCTGATAAAATGTTAAACCTGTTATGATCTCATAGATTATTTGATTTTTCTCTTCTGATTTTCCTCCCTCCAGTCTTCTTCCCCTTTATCCAGCTCTTGTTAAGTGTTTAAGAGAATATCAGTGCTTGTATGTTTGGTGTAATATGTTTTTCTTTTTTCCATTATATGTTTGATTAAGAAGAATTATAAAACCTAAGTTAACTGAGATGTATTGAGTTATTTTTGCGTGTCAAGAAATTGAGTAAGCAGACAACAAAAATCTTGTTTGTAGTAAATTTAGGATTGGGGTTTTTTTTAAGAAGTAGTTGCAAAGAACTTGCACTCTTTGATCCTTGAGCTATGTTTTCAGAAGAAGTGTAAAATTGATGATTTTTAATTGACTGTTTACAACACAAGAGAGGGTAGTTAGATTACCTGAATTCTAACTGAAGACAAATTTATGTTTTATTACATGTCGATTGTCCTGGAAAAACAGCATCAGCTTTATTGTTGGCATTAATCCCTTAATAACACTGAGGTCATTATATGAAACTCTTTACTTTGTTATATTAGTGGGGCTCTCTTTCATTTTATAGCTGGCTTAAGTCCTGCTGAGATTCAGCAGTTATGGAAAGAAGTGACTGGAGTTCACAGTATGGAAGACAATGGCATTAAACACGGAGGGCTAGACCTCACTACTAACAATTCCTCCTCTACTACCTCCTCCACCACTTCCAAAGCATCACCACCAATAACTCATCATTCCATAGTGAATGGACAGTCTTCAGTTCTAAATGCAAGGCGAGACAGGTAATTCTGATGAGATTTCAACTGTGCTTCTCATTTGACGTAAAGCTGTTGTATAACATCATGTCACATTATTTCCAATCACAAAACCACACCTAATACAGGTTACTTAAGAGACCGTGGAGACCTGATTTTTCAGAATTGTTTATCAATATGGCATAACAATATCTAATTGTGCAGACACAACAAATTTACCCACCTGTGGTTTTACAACACCTGAACTTAAATCACAGAATCGAGTGGGCTGGTGCAGAGGTGTAAATGCACATTTGCAGGCACAATTTTGTAAGGCACATAGTTTCATTCATATTTGAGTTAACACATCTAGCAGTCAGGCCCTTACTGTTGAAACACACTCCTGGTGTCGTTGAAAATGTACGTCTATATGAGTTTTCGAGGCTGTAATTCAGTGCAAAGATTCTATGTTAAAAGTGCTTCATAACAGTATATTAAAGAAGTTCTCATTTGGTCCTTGTGAAAAGAACTACTGCTTTTTCCTTCTTTTGTGCATGACAGTAACACAGTTGACATATTTCATACAAATTTTCTGTGGTGTTAGTGTAGAATTCCACTATACGGATAAAGTTAAAATCATTTTTCAGACATATTGACAGATATTCTTCATTGTTCCTTAATTTCAAGTAATGGATTAAATGCATACAACAGTACATAGTATCGGTAGCACTTATCAGTGAATATATTAGTGTAGTCAGGTGTAGATGATCTTAATATAAGATGAAATTTAATTTGTATAATCGGTAAATTTTTTTCAAATAAATATTCCATTTAATTATTTTAATATTTAAATTATGAGACTATGATTGAAATGTCTCTTGTCCTCATGTGACTGTGAGAACATTTTTCCATCATTATTTTGTATTAATTAAAAATCTGAATGCATTTATGGTAGTACTTTTAGTTAGTAGTACTTTTGTGGTTGTATCTCATAGAATGTTTCTTTGCTTCAGGATGTGTAGCTGACACCCACATATGCAGAACCATTCCCTGAATTTCTTTGATAACTTATCATGGATGAAGCTATTGCAGAGGTTCCAAAAAAAGACACAGAATACAGCTAGGGATTTTTATGAAGCCAAATAGCTAATGGAAGCAATGTTTGTGAACAGAAATATTCATTAATGGAAGCAACTTTATTTTTATACACATTTAAGTAGAAAATTCAAATATTTTTTGAGCATTCACAATATTCATAAATTCTGACTGTCGGTCTTCAATATTTCTTCTCAGAATTGATCACTTGTGAGTGTATTTTTTATTTATAGGTAAATGTTACACCAAGGTCATATGGCATAATTAGCATATGGTATTATACAGTCATCCCGTTTTTTCATCCTTTATTAACAGTCATCTTTGGCTCTATTTCTTCTCTAATTGGAACATCATCTAGCCTTGGCAGTTGAACTATTCAATAGAACGATTAAATTTTTCTGACTGCTCTGAGCTAAATTGACCTGTTTTGACCTGTTTGTCACTGATCGTAACCTGACAGGCGCTAGCAGCCTCCAACGATTATGGCTTTTGAGATGAATCTGATGCCTTATTCTTTTGCTACAGCTCGTCACATGAGGAAACTGGGGCCTCACATACTCTCTATGGTCATGGAGTTTGCAAATGGCCTGGCTGTGAAAGTGTTTGTGAAGATTTTGGACAATTTTTAAAGTAGGTGAATTTTTATTCATTACTACAGAATTGTTTAAGGCCAGGGAGAGAGAAAGATGGCAAACAAAATTTTACTGTAAACCATAGCAGAGATATTTTTTTTGTGTATTTCAAGCAACTGGATAATCGAGACTATTGTCAGAGGGTCAAATTGTTATCCTTTCTTTCATGTCGAACACTTTTGCAGGCCTTTCAGTAGCACAGTGTTTAATCCTCTTATTATCCTTTACTGAAATGGAGCCTCTGAAAATTTGAAGAAATGCTTTAGATTTTTATTGGATAGTAGGAGTATGAAGAAGCACATCCTAAACTCTGACAGTTTGTGCAAAGTGGGAATTAATGTGTGCAGTATAAATAAAAAAGCACAAGGGACTAAGCATGACCATTTAACTCTCACTTGCTAATCCGTTTTTGTTTTTATTCTTGTATGTGCACAATATACATAGGGAAAAAAACACTATGAACAGGTGGGTTTGCACCTTTGAGGACTGAATAGTGATGTCAAAAGTTTTCATCTTTCAGCATTTGTTTTAGGCAGTTATCATCTAAATCACAACATTTAGAAAATAAAATGCACAGCTCTTTCTTTTCATCTACAGCTTCAAACTGCAATGGGTTTCTGCATTTTTTCCTTTTTTTAATTTTAAAGTATTTACTAGTATTTCTGTGTTCATTTGAATTTTCAACAACAGCACTGATTTTCTACCCATGTACATTATGGACTGGTCTTTGTTAGAAGAGCCATACTCATTTGGCATGCAATAGATCTTAATGGAAAGCTACAGACAGGCTTATATAGATGGTAACTTCAGGGGCTGAGACTCTTATGTTGTCATGGTGCAGCTAACAGGGTGAATGAACTGTTTCATGCTTCATCAACAATTAAGTTAATTAGCTCATTTGAAATTGCACTGCTTTGTTGCCAGGATGTTGGCAGAAACATCAAAAAGATGTGTTTACAAATGGTAATCTACAGGGTATATTACAGAAGCACCTTAACAGCAGACCATAAGCACTCAGTATAACAATAACTTTTATAACAGAATTATAGCAATACTGTTCGTAAAGTATTTGCAATGCCTTCTCCATCTTTCACTTTTAAATGAAGTAACCTATACTGACTTGCAAGTCTTAGGTAAGTATCACTCTTGATAAATTTTTGTTTATTAGTGCATTAAGTGGAATGTCAAAACAACAGCTTATTATTGGTTAAAACTGTATAGGATTTAAAAGAACCTGATTTATATAAGTTTGTATTTAAAAGAAAATGAAATCTCCTAAATTCGATGCAGCGTTCTAAGTATTATTAATACTAAGAATTTAAATTCATTTAGCTTAAGCATTCTCCTTTTCAAGAAAAACCATATTTTTCTAAATACATCTATCCATGTAGGCTATAGTGATGCTAATTCTGTGGGCAGACTTTGCACATCCATTATGTCAGGTCTGCTGTTATAATCCATGATCACTAAAACCATTTTGATTAAGGCAGTGTAGTGCTAGGTTTACAGATGTTCTTGCTTTCCTGAACCAAATAACCCTGGAAGATGTGAAAGTGACATATAACATCTTGATAATTCTGGTGCAGAGTCAATCAGGGTTTACAGCAGTGTGATGGCTTTTGTC